CAGAAAGAGAATTTGTTAGCCCAATATGCAGCCCCTGTAAGCCGCAGCACGCAACATAAACCAGGTGTACATACACCGCAAAATTTAGACACAGAGATTGTTGTATAACTTATATTTACACACAGATACACACACATTCATGAAGTTTAACAGCAATACAAGCAGCACCAGCAGCAGCAGCAGCTAACAGCCCCTTATCGACGCTCAATTTGGCGGCATTGTAGGCAGCTAGACGCCCCCAAAGTAAGACAGAGGAGATAAACACTAAAACAAAATAAAACAACTAAAATAAAACAAAACAAAACAAAACAAAATAAAATAAAATAAAATAAAAGAGAAGAAGAAGGACTGGGCGACGTACCTGTTTCTCTGCAACCGGCAGGAGCTGGTTGTGTACGTCTAGGATAAGGTCTGCATCTAGGCCTGAGCTTTTTGCTCTTATTCTGCTGACGTGTTCAAATTTGCTGTTATCTACATTTCTTATTGTGAAACGATCCTCAAATAAACAAGGAATCGACATTTTTTTTTTTTTTTTTTTTTTTTTTTTTTTTTTTTTTTTTTTTTNACAAACTTGTACTATTACACTCATGCAGATACCCCGGGCCACCCTCCTCCTCCTGCTGCCGCCGCTTATGCTGGGGTTGATGCTGCTGCTGATGATCTTTTTGCTGCTGCTGCTGCTGCTGCTGCTGCTGGTGGAGATCTTGCTGGTATTGCTGCTGCGACTCTACAGACCTAGAGCGAGCTGCAGCAACAGCTGTATGAGCAAAGCCCCACCGGCAAAAGTGTAGAAAAAGTTATTTCTTAGAGCCACTGGGTTATCGCTATAGACAAACGAGGCAGTTGCTGCAGCAGCGGAGCAGAGCCAGAGCAGCCAGGATATACAGCTGGCAAGCGACGTAGAGAAAATGAAGGTGTTGTGTTGTCTGTAGTTTCAAAACAATATAAAAACCATCAAAAATATACTTAATAGAACTCACTGAAGAGGTTTTGTTTTTATAATTTCGCAGAAGATAACAGAAGACCTCGATTCTGTACGGCCGATGCAGCCAGCCCCATTGGGCATGCAAGCAGCCTCAAGCTTACTGAAACACGCAGCAGCAACGGCTGCTGTTTTCTTCTCAAAGACGACGTTATACACTGAATATTATATATATTTTTAAAAAAAATATATATTTTTAATATGTTTTATATATTATGCGAGGATTCTTCTTTAGTTGATGAGCTGAGGTTTCCGTTTCGCACTCGTTCAACAATTAGTGGTTAGTTGTGTTCGGTAGAATTCATGAGGAAATATGCGTGTAACAGTAATATTTTAGATTTAATTTGTTTTATTTAAATTTATTTTGTTATATTTAAATTTAATTTGTGAGTAAAATTAAAAAAGAAAGAGAGGGAGCCTTGAATACAGCTTCACGCTTTCTGTTCCCCCTTTGAAACAGAAGTCAGCAACTCAGCAAGAGCCAACAGATCCTTCATTTCTTCTGCCTATAAAAACATATATTTATAAAATATAAAAAATATATATTTATAAAAGGTTATAAGAAAGCTATTACTGGCATGTAAGCACACCTGTTGGTTGATGATCTGCTGGAAATCTGTATGTTGTTTTCGTTAGTAAGCGCTGGTATATTCAACTTTTGTACTGCAGAAATGTATGAGGTTACCGGCTATATCTTCTTCAAATTCTCGCTTTCTCATGTTTATAGTTTCCTGTAGCCGCTTTCTCTTCTCTTGAGATATCTTTGTATTGAATCGATCTGTATTGGGCAGATCAACGTGCAAGTTCACGACGGGTGAGGGGGCCGGCGACGTATCTCCTGGAAAAAGGTTTTATTTACATCCATAGAATATATTTTTTAAATTATTTTTCGTAAATACTCGAATTTTTTTAATTGCGTTCATCAGAAAACCTGAAATCGGTTGTTTCGCTCACCCACTGGTGGACTCTGCCGGTTCTCGTTTATAGGATTCAACATTTGCTGAAAGTGCGGATCCGCGGCTGCTGCGCGTCTTCTATGGTGAACTATTAAAACAAATTAAATAAACAAACAAAACAACTTATTTTGCAAAGTTTTATTCGTACAAATCTTTCGTTGCTCCTTCGCCGGCGACGGAACCACCGCGGCGGTTCTGAGAAACACGCCGCAGCAGGCGGCAAAAAACAGCCCCCGCCAGAACTTTCCGTGTTTTTTACGCATTATGAATTTTAATTTGAATAATTTTGATGATCAGTCAGCTAAAAGGTACACAGAAACGGCCGCTGTAAGCGAAAGCTGAATCTTTATGCAGCGCCATTACTCTTCAGGTGTACAGGCAGGTACTGGTTTCTGCATCGACTGATCGCAAGCTTCTAGCTCTCAGAAGANTACTCTTCAGGTGTACAGGCAGGTACTGGTTTCTGCATCGACTGATCGCAAGCTTCTAGCTCTCAGAAGAGAAACTCTGACGACTTACCCTTTCTCTCGTGGTGTAAGGATACGTTTAAACTTTTGTTTTACTACCCCCCGGGCTCGCCGGCCTGCATCATCTGTCTACTGACGCCCAGCCGCCTCTCTCCTGCTCTTTGCTTATATCTTGAGTTGTAGCCTTCTCTGTACACACACTGCTACGCTCGTGCTTCTCGTCTGTACTGCTTTATATTTTCGCTGAGCTGCGTAGCGCATGTCAAATGCATGCCGGTGTCGATAGTACCTCATACGTATGCATAGGTATATGTATACATATATTTATGTATAAATATTTATTATATGTATATGTATATATATATGTAGATACATTATTATACTGCTACTCCCCGCTCCGAGTTCCTGCCGTGCAGCAGATGCAGCGGTATTATATTGGTAGTTTGCATAGCCTGTAGAGCTCTTAGGTTTGTTTCACTAAATACATATTATATATATATATATATATATATATATAT